ATTGACATTACATTTGAATATTTGAAGATTATAGTTATCAGGGAAGCGGGTAAGAGGAAGGGAGTTCCACTGTCGGGAAGTGTGTGATAAGAATCTGTTGGAGTAGAAGAGACGGCCACATTTCACCGTTTCGACAGTGAAATGGTGGGACCGAAATGCTTAACCACTTCGGCGCTGATTAAAGCCTCGAAGACTGGTAGGAGATTAATAGGACGGTAGTTAGATGGGTCATAAGGGTCTCCAGAGTTCTTAAAGACAGGGACAACAGATGATGATTTCCAACAGGATGGAAAGCAAGAGACGGTAAGGCCGTAGTTATATAGTTTTGAGAGGACAGGAGTCAGTTCAGGAGCGTATTTCTTCAGGAAAATGGTTGGTATCCCGTCCCCGCCACTAGACTTATGGGAGTCTAATTTAGAGACGATGTCCAATACCATCGATGGAGTTATATTCATATCCCTTAATAGAGCCTCAGTTCTAGAGAGAAAAAAAATCAGGTGTGGGTAGACCGGATGAGTCGAGCTTTGAATTGGATGAGAATTCCCGAGAAAAGCATTCAGCCTTATCAGCTCGTAAGTTTGGTTCTAGAAATTACTCATGGCTCTATAAGAGTGTGATGAACCAGAGTAACACCTCACTCTTTTTGCACTTCAATCAGTTTGAAGTATTGTCATCTAGTGGGTAAAAAAAAAAACAAACAAAACAAAACAAAAAAACATAAACAAAATGCTTTGCTTGTAAATTCTTTTCAACACTAAGCTCGACTCCCGGGTGTATCTTTGCTTGATTTCCTTCCTAGAACGGAATCACGACTCAGTGACATGAGCATAGCTCCATCCATGATTTATACTATAATCTCCAAATTATATACCGAAAAGGCTAGAGGACTTAACTGTATCCCCGCGATTGTCCTAAGTAAATGCCCCCCCCCTGAACTAGCGGCTGTTCTCTCCAAACTCTACAATAAATGCCTCGCTATAGTTTGCTTGGAAATACTCTTCTGGGGTTTCTGTTTTTAAGAACTCTGATGAGCCTTTTGATCTCTCGATTCTTGCATCCTAGTGGCTTTATTGCCTTGCTTGTTATAAAATGATTAATATATATATATATATATATATATATATATATATATATAAGTATGAACCTAAAGAGCCAGGCAAACCTACCTAGGTTTGACCTATGCGGATCGTCAGGGTACGCTTGGGTATTGGTTTGTTAATTTACAAGTCAATACACCTAAGGTTTTTTTCAGGCGAGTATAATAATCTTATAAATATAAGATTATATATATATATATATATATATATATATATATATATATATATATATATATGTGTGTGTGTGTGTGTGTATGTATGTATAGAGTGAGTGAGAGAGAGAGAGGGGGGATGTTGAAGAGATCAAGGTAGGTAGATGGATGATATCTTATGTATGAAAATGGCTATGAGAAATAATGCCTAAGAAGTGATTGAATGCTTTCAAATATGGACGGAAATTTAGGAAGCTGACGTTACCTGACAGGTCACATGACAATTCATCAGAAAGCAGACATTTTTTTTCAGTCAGTAAGTAGAATTAAAAAAAAAAAAAGAAATTAAATCCGGAGTAATATAAAACAAGCTTCGAAAAGCGACTGCCTGATAAAAATGCGACAAAACAATGAAATTGTATTTTTTATTGATCTGCAGTAAAAAATGGTAAAAATATGAGAAGCTTCAAAGCGTCAGGTCATATTTTGATAAACAATTCATATATCTATCTTCTACGTATGTATATATGTATGCCAATATCTATCTATCTAACTAGCTAGCTAGCTATTTTAGTCACTTTCAACATCTATCTATGCCAGTCTGTTGATATCTATCTATCTATCTATCTATTTTAGTCTTTTTCAACATCTATCTATCTATACCCGTCTGTCCATATACATCTATCTATCTATCTATCTATCTATCTATCTATCTATCTATCTATCACTGGCTTTTCATATCTATCTATCTATCTATCTTTTTATAGATGCAACTATTTAAGTAAATGCTGTGTTTATAATAAACAGTATTAACAACATTTACCGGCCTGAATGTCCGAGAAATTTTCATAGAAAACATGCGTCTTCCGACAGGAATCGAACCTGTATCCTATACGGAACCGTCATATAGCCTGACGTGCCTTTAACCGATTGGGCCACAGAGGAGCGTTCGGTTAGCGGGGTCGATTTTACTGTCTTTAAACTACAATCTTTCAGCATTTACCGGTTTGAATGTCCGAGAAATTTTCCTGTCGGAGGACAAATATTTTCTATGTAAATTTCTCGGACATTCCGGTCGGTAAATATTGTTCAATACTGTTTATTATAAACAGAGCATTTACCTAAATATTTGTATCTATAAAAATGTCTTAAAATAATTGTCGGACTTTGTCCATTTCATAAAGTGTATTGTTGGTCATTTTTTATATAAAACATATTGTTGGTCATTTTGCTATAAAATGTATTCTTGGTCACATTGCTATAAATAGGTATTTTTAGTCATTTTGTGTTCGAATACTTGAAAATGAAATATTTGTAACAGTGGTCCTTGTGTGTATATGTGGACTGTTTAAAATTTATCGGAACTGGTGTTATAAAAAGAAAACTACAACACATATCAATTCAGAATTTAAACTCCTTCTAAGTAGCCCCCTTTTCATGCGACACACTTTATCCAGTGTTGTTTCCATTGATGAAAGGATTCCTGGAACTCTTTTATTGGGATAGTGATCAGCTGCTTCGTCGCATTTTTCCTGGATTTCCTCGACGTCTTGAAATTACTCCCTTCTAGCTACCAGTGCTATCCATTTTAGCTTTTCTTGGAAGACTTCATCTGAAGAGATTTCTGTTATTTGGTAAAATTGCTTTTGTAACGCCAATCTATGAGATCTGATGAATTGTTGTCTTCTTAAGAACCAACGAGGTTCATTCGTTTGAAGTCATTTGTGATCATTGATCTGATGGTTTGGTTTGTTGTGTTTTACGGTATATCAACCCCAATGGGTTATTTAATACTGACAAATTTTTTATTGCTGGTAATATTTTGTTTTGTCAACAATCTATTTCTGGTAATAATTTCTCCTTCAAAAATGTATTGCTGGTAATATTTTTTTTACAAAGTATTCCTGGTATTAAAACCCATTTTTACCCCAGTTTTGGAGTTAACTATTTGTCCATAGCTGGAACCATAACAGGTGCTACCACCTCGGGTCAGGGTGGACCTGGGAACACAAGCAATTAAGAGGTGGCTCCACGCTTCTCAAAACCTCTTGGTCAGAGGCCTTGCTGCTGGACGTAGTTTATCGTCTTACCCAGGGATTGATCTGAGAAAACTGGTGTATATAGATAGTCTCTGAACGATTTGACACGAGGCGTGTCACCCATATTCATAGTTGAGATAAGAATGATCAAGTAAAAAACAAATCGATATTGTTTTAAATGATCCAAGAAGTGGGGATTAAGATAACCCTTTCCAAAAGAAAAATTCTGATCTGTAATTGGAATAAAATCAACGATGCTACGTATCCTTAATCCATCGTAAAAATTCAGAATGAGGATTGAATAAATACAAAACGCTTGAAATACTTAAATGTGTGTATTGGTTATAAGTGATTTAGTGAAGGAGAAAAATAAACACTGTAAGTCGCTACAAAACAGAAATACTGACCTGAGATCTCGAGTCATGTTCTAAAATAGCCTCGTCAGATCAAGACTCTAATATGGACGTCATGCATGTCCAGAAATGTCTACATCTGTCTGCAACCGCTTCTCAGATGATGGGCTAAAAATGTCTTCAAACAATTCTAAAATTTCCCAAACTAAGAGCTTTACCAAATAATAAAAATCACATCATTTGAATACTTGTAAAATCAGCATCATAAAATAGGGTAGTACATGTCACTAGAATAAAAATATAGTGCATTTTTCAACCTTTCACACAACAGATAAAAGGAAGATTCGAAGGAAAAAAAACCATCAATAGAGCAATAACATTTAGAGGAAATGAAAAATTTAATTTCCTGAAAAAACGTTTTAAGATAATGATTTTTTGAAAAAAATTCAACCGAAAATAATATTTTTATGTTATTGTATACGAAATGTATATTCTTATATTCGTATGTATATTCGAATATGCATATTCTTATATTCTTATGTTTTGGTATGCAAAATCTTTATTCTATGTTCAAAATTCTTATCTTTTGTATATGCAATTCCTATGTTCTTATACATATTCTTATGTATATTCTTATATTATTGTATATACAAAAATGTATATTCTTATATTCTTATGTATATTCTTATATGCATATTCTTAATTTCTTATGCTATTGTATACATATTCTTAATTTCTTATGCTAATGTATATTCTTATATTCGTATGTATATTCGAATATGCATATTCTTATATTCTTATGTTTTGGTATACAAAATCTTTATTCCTATGTTCTTATACATATTCTTATATTCTTATGTTATTGTATACGAAATGTATATTCTTATATTCTTATGTATATTCTTATATGCATATTCTTAATTTCTTATGCTATTGTATACGAAATGTATATTCTTATATTCGTATGTATATTCGAATATGCATATTCTTATATTCTTATGTTTTGGTATACAAAATCTTTATTCCTATGTTCTTATACATATTCTTATATTCTTATGTTATTGTATACGAAATGTATATTCTTATATTCTTATGTATATTCTTATATGCATATTCTTAATTTCTTATGCTATTGTATACGAAATGTATATTCTTATATTCGTATGTATATTCGAATATGCATATTATTATATTCTTATGTTATTTTATACGAAATGTATATTCTTATATTCTTATGTTTTTGTATACAAAATGTTTATTCCTATGTTCTTAGCATATTCTTATAATCTTATATATTCTTATATGTTCATATGTATATTCTTATATTCTTATGTTTTGGTATACAAAATCTTTATTCCTATGTTTATACATATTCTTATATTCTTGTTCTTGTATACGAAATGTATATTCTCATATTCTTATGTATATTCTTATATGTATATTATTATATTCTTATGTTATTTTATACGAAATGTATATTCTTATATTGTTATGTTTTGGTATGCAAAATGTTTATTCCTATGTTCTTAGTATATTCTTATAATCTTATATATTCTTATATGTTCATATGTATATTCTTATATTCTGATGTTATCATAGATAGATATCAATATTACCTGTAAAATGCATAACACACTTATTTAATAGAATATAATAATTATCTTCCTTTTTTCTTTTCTTTTTATTTAGCTTGTGCATTATCTTTCTCTATTTTCACAGATAGATATCAATATTACCTGTGTTGTGCATAACTCACATAAGGAACTATTTTTCATTCTTTTTTTTCTAAATTTTCTTTCTTTTTCTATTCTTTCTTTCTCTTTTTTCTTTTTTCTTCCCTTTTTGCTCCCAATCTGTTCCTTTTCCCTATCTCCCTATCTATGTTCACAGATAGATATCAATATCACTTGTAAAATCTTCGACCCACAGTAGGAACTATTTTTCTTTTTTCTCTCTTTTTTTATTCTCTTTTTCAATTTCCGCTTTTTCTTTTCTTTCTTTTTCTTTTTTGGTTTCTTTTTCTTTTACCGTCTTTTCTCGGCCTGTTCATTGTATTTATCTCTCTATCTATTTTCCAAGATAGATATCAAAATTACCTGTAAAATCCACGAACCTCAACAGGAACTTTCTTTGTTTCTTTGTTTCTTTGTTTGTTTGTTTCTTTCTTTCTTTCTTTCTTGCTTGCTTTCGTTCTTAATTTTATTTCCTTCTTTCTTTCTTTCTTTCTTTCTTTCTTTCTTTCTTTCTTTCTTTCTTTCTTTTTCCTTTCTTTCTCTTTTTTGTTTTTTCTTCCCTTTTTTTCTCCCAATCTGTTCCTTATCCGTATCTCCGTATCTATTTTCACAGATATCAATACCACTTGTAATATCTTCGACCCACAGTAGGAACTATTTTTCCTTTTTTTTTTCTTTCTTTCTTTTTCTATTTCCTCTTTTTCTTTTTTTTTTTTCTTGTTTGATTTCTTTTTCTTTTTACTTTCTTTTCTCGGCCTGTTCATTGTATTTATCTCTCTATCTATTTTCCAAGATAGATATCAGAATTACCTGTAAAATCCACGAACCTCAACAGGAAATTTCTTTCTTTCTTTCTTTCTTTCTTTCTTTCTTTCTTTCTTTCTTTCTTTCTTCAGAGCCTTTTATTATTCCAGGTCTGAGCAGCTGTTACTCTGTGTTCTCTTTATTATTGGTCTCTGACAAAGGAAGAAAAAAAAAAAAAACACTAAAATAAAAAACCCAAAAAATCAAAATGGCCACCCGTCCATAATTCTGCACCTGCGCATTTCAATCTCCTGTGCTACAAAAGCTCCGAGTGGCCAGCTTCATCTTTCTAGCCTCACATTCCAACCCCCACTCCCCAATTCACGCTTCTCTATCCTTCTGCCGGCTCTTCCTTTCAATTTATCCTTAATTAGGTTTGTCCTTCTCAATTGAGGTAATTCCACTCCAATTCTTTTCTGAGTTTTATGAAGGTCATTCTATGATTGATTCCGTTTCTCTTTCCCTCCTCTTCATCTTTTCAAGAGGCCGAAGCTGAGATAGCAATCACTGATGATGATGAAAATATTAATAAATCGTCACTTCTTCACCCATGATTCATGTCTCCCACCTCAATCTTAATCGTGAATTTTGTTCTTCTGTTATCTTATTCTATGTGCTGTATATTTTCAGGACGTGGGCGATGATGGCTCTCCGAAACATCCTGTCCTTTGTAGCTCTTACTACGGCTTGCCTTTTTACCATCTCTCCTAACCCCTGGTTTGTCAACTATTTACACATCCTCGTTAGGTAAGTTATTCACTGTTTTCCTCTGATCCTCACTATGTTCTGCGAGTGTCAAATCTACCAAGGCCTCATTATGTGCGCTAGAAATTTCAACTGCTTTTTTCGGATACTGAGTATAAGAGTTTCTTTTTGTTAAAAACCGGTGGAATTCTCAGCATTTCTGTTGTTCCAAGGCTCTTCTTCATCTGGGATGGGATTTTTCAGCATTAGCTGTTATATAGAAAGGCCGATAATACTTAAAACTTTAGTATTCTTTTCTTTGTTTTTAATGAAATTTTCGTGTTTCTTAATACTTAGCTTAGCTTTTGGAAGGCAACTTTCTCAATTCTAATGGGCCTTTAAATTTCGCTGTATCATTTTCCAACCCTCATTAGCATACTCCTTAGATATTTGAAGTTTTCTACTTTCTGGATTACCAAACATTTATAGACGTACACGGTTTGATCAAAGCGTGTCGGGACTGGTGTTATACAAAAAGAAAACTATAACATATATCAATTCGGCATTTAATCTCCTTCGAAGTAGTCTCCTTCTGAAGCGGCACACTATATATAGAACTGTTTCCATTGATCGGAGAGCGAGTCGCATTCGCTTGGATTTCCTCGACATCTTGTAATCTTGTTCCTTTCAAGTGGGAATTGATTTTTGGAAAGAGGAAAAAATTTGCAAATGGCGAGATCTGCTGAATATGATAGTTATCGGATCAAGGAAATGTTGATCTTAGCCAAAAACGGCTGCGTAAGACAGGGTCACTGATGGAACCTCTGTAGTGGTGTGAAACGACCACACTCTAAACACTTTCCTTCCAAGCAGTGCTATAAACACCTGAAGCGAGGGAGAATGTTTTAACTTAGTGCGCATATGCGACTTAGATCAAAGTCAGTCCGGTAAAGCGGCTTTAGTCTGGATACTTTAGCTCCGTTGCTATAGCAACAGTTCAGATACTTTTTGATTGGACCTCGTATTCCATTTCATGCTTTCATTCTAATTCTATTTCAATTTATCTCTATTTCAATTCCCTTTTCTTTCCCTTCATCTCCTCTCTCTCTCACTCTCACTCTTTCTTTCTTTCTTTCTCTCTTTCTTTCTTTCTTTCTTTCTCTCTCTTTCTTTCTCTGTGCGCATTCCACTTTTCTTTATTCTCATAATCGTTCTCTTTCTCTTTTCCCTAACACTTAATGTTCATTTCCTTCCACAGTCATTCTTTTTGACTCTCTTTCTCTATTCTCATTTCTTTCTCTCCGCACTCATTCCCTTTCTCTATCTCTCTCTTTATACCCATTTATTTTTTCTTTCTCTCCCCACTCATTCTCTTTGTCTATCTCTCTTTATTCTCATTTTCTTTCTCATTCTCTCCACGCTCTTTCTTTTCTTCCTCTCGCCCTATTCTCATTTCTTTCCTCTTTCTCTCCACACTCATTCTCTTTCTCTATCTCTATATATTCATTTCTTTTCTCTTTCTCTCCTTAAACTTTTCTCTTTCTCTCTCTCTCTCTCTAATCTCTACCCTTTCTCTTTCTCGTCATACACATTCCTTTTTTCTCTCTTTCTCTTTTTCTCATTTCAGTTCTCGTTCTTTTCATAATTATTCTCCCCTTTCATATTCATTGACCTTCTCTTTCACTCTCTCTTCTCCTTTTCTTCTCTTTCCCTTCATACGTATTCCCTCTCTTTCTCTCTCGGTCCTTACACGCCTTCTTTTTCCCTTTCGTGTTCTTTTTCTCCCCATTTATTTTTTCTTTCCCTTGATTCTCTTCGTTTTCCTCACTTTTCATTTCTCTTCTATTCATTTTGTTTCCCTTACCAATTTCTCCCCTCTCTTCATCTTTTCGACTTCTTGTTTTTAAAATTACCTATCTTCTTCTACTTTACTTTTCTCTCCATTACCTCTTTGCAAATCCTAAGAACATTTCTTCTTACTCCACTTCTTCTTTTCCTACCTATTGCCAATTTAGCTCTAAGGCTTCGATTTCCTCTTTTCTTTATATTTCTTCCATCTCCGCGGCTTCTTTTACACACGAACCTTATTTCCTGTCTGACATATTTTCAGAAAGCAATTTCAGCTTCTCATTTTTAAATTTCTCTTTGAGAGTCTTTCAATTTTAGATAAAGTAGAATTATTTAGATTACCCACCTCTCCACCCACCATATCTTGTGATGTTTATCCTCTGACCTAATGTATAAATTCTGCGATAAGAGCACCTGTGTGGAGTCGTAAGAGTTCATTCAACGCAAGCCACTTTCCACGCATGCGCCATGAATGTTAACTTAGCCTCCATGTTTACGTCATTTCATCAATATGTCTATCACCAATGGATGAAAATAAGTAATTAGTTTTTATAACTGATCTATTTTTTCAAGAATTTGAACCATAATATTTTTCCTACTAATTCTTAAAACTTCATTTTATTTGCTTTCTAACGTAGCTATCCAGAACGCCACTCCAGAGAAAAATATAATATGTCTCTAGAAAGGTTTCAACTTGTATTTTTTATTCTTGGATACGATCCGTGTTGAATACTAGTAGATATAAACTGATGGTCTGATTAATCCAAAGCAATTTTACATAAACTTATGGTCTATTGATCATCTGAGTAGTCCAAAATCATTTTTCATAAATTGATCATCTGAGTAGTCCAAAATCATTTTTCATAAACTGATCATCTGAGTAGTCCGAAGCTGTTTTTCATAAACTGATCATCTGAGTAGTTCGAAGCTGTTTTACATAAATTGATCATCTGAGTAGTCCAAAATCATTTTTCATAAACTGATCATCTGAGTAGTGCGTAATCATTATTCATAAACTGATCATCTGAGTAGTCCGAAGCTGTTTTACATAAATTGATCATCTGAGTAGTCCAAAATCATTTTTCATAAACTGATCATCTGAGTAGTGCGTAATCATTTTTCATAAACTGGTCATCTGAGTAGTCCGAGGCCAATTGTCATAAATTGATCATCTGAGTAGTCCGAATTCATTTTTCATAAACTGATCATCTGAGTAGTCCAAAATCAGTTTCCATAAACTGATCATCTGAGTAGTCCGAAATCATTTTTCATAAACTGGTCATCTGTGTAGTCGGAAGTAATTTTTTATAAACTGATCATCTGAGCCGTCTGAAGCTATTTTTCATAAACTGATCATCTGAGTAGTCCAAGGCATTTGTCATAAACTGATCATCTGAGTAGTTGCAACGAAAAGTTACTGGAATTAAGATAAAAGAAATATCATTCGTTGATATTATCTCAACGCGGCTTATCCCTTCTTGATCTGTTATTCATAGCTTTCCTCGACTTCCTCTCTTCTGTTACTCACAGTAATGCTTTCTTTGTTACTTGTTCCTGTAGACCGTTGTCGAAAAAAAAAACCCCAAAAAACCAAAAATCTTGTCTATTATATTTCTGCTTTATCGCCCGCTTCTATTGTTTGGATAAATATCATGATTATTAAATTCTCCAGACTTTCTTTCCTCTTTAGTTCATGCCGAAATTTTTCACCTGTCATTTCATTAGAAATTCCTGTTTGCCTTGTCAATTGTCACATATTCTGTCTGTGATATTTTCTGTCTTCATCGGTAGAAAAACAAACATATCTCTCCTCATGCTCTTTGTTACTTTACCTTACTTGTGAGTGTTACATTCTCCAGATTTTCTTTCCTCATTACATCTCGTCCAACATTTTCACCAGTTACTTTCCTTGTGGTTCTTGTTCTTGTTAGAACTTTCTCATTTGTCACATGCTCTGTCTATGACATTCTCAGTCTTCACCGCTAGAAAAAAAAACAATAATGGCTCTCCATGACTACCTCTTTGGTTATTCTCAGCAATATTTGTTTATGAACACCTTTATTATTTGATCCCTATTTATAAAGCTTTTATTGTTATTTTTTTTTTATTTGTATTTGCATCTATATGCAAAATACTTTCAAGGATGTTTCTCTGTTTTTATTTGTTTCTCTTGCCTTTGATGTGTCTTGAGAGTGTTAAATTCTCTAAGCTTGTTTTCCTTATTACGCCGTGTTCAGTTTTTTTCGCCTGTCCCTTTATTTGCAGTTCTTCTTGTTCGTGGTATTTCGCCATTTGTCATATGGGCCCTACCGATGGTCTTCTTGCTTCTAGAAACACAATTTATCCTCGAATAAATATCGAAGCAATATTCTTACGTCGAAAATGCAATTTAAACCAAGGTTCCTTCATAGACCACATATAGATCGAAATTTGTGCAGTAAAAACTTCACAGCAGAATTCTGATGACGATATCCTGCCGCTCAACGTAATTATTGATTAATTCTTGTACAGTTCCATTATCAGATTAATTTAGTAAATAATGCGTGTTTGATGAAAGGAAATGTTAACAATTATTGCAGGCTACACACACAAAAAAAATCCTGATTAATATTGGTGAACAGCAAACCATGTTTTTATCTTTTCATATCAGCGTTTTTGGTAGTCAAGAAATATGGACGTCGTGATGCGTGATGAAGTCGTTTTTTTAAGCTAGTCATTTAGGAGAAAACTTAATTGCAGATCATTTATTACGATACGTAATAACAGGTTACTCAAGAGTAAATCTGCAGCACTCATTCGAATGTGAGGCTTTGGTGCCTGTATATCTATCTATCTATCTATCTATATATATATATATATATATATATATATATATATATATATATATATATAATAAGCCACACACACACAAAATATATATATATATATATATATATATATATATATATATATATATAAAATGGAAAAAAGTTATAGTTGTTCCAACGAGAGAAAATGTATATTTTAAAAAAAAAGAGAAACC